GACTTATGATGGAGTTTTTCTTTTCTTTAATTATTTTTTTGGCTGGGGCTGGGTTTGAACCCGCCACCTCCGACATATGGGGCTGGCTCCCTACTCCTCTGAGCCACAGGCACCACCCTATGATGGAGTTATGTATTGACAAAACTATTGTAAGTTGAAAACATTGTGAGTCAAAAATATGCGTTTAATAAACCTAACCTATTAAACATTGTAACTTAGTGTAGCCTACCTTAAATGTGCTCAAAACACTTACATTAGCCTACAGTTGGGCAAAATAGTCTAGTGCAAGGCCTATTTTAAATAAAGTGTTGACTATGTGATTTACTGAACACTGCACTGAAAGTGAAAAATAGAATGGCTGTATGGATACTCAAGGTACAGTTTTTACTGCTTGTGTATCTTTAAAACGTTATTAAAATTATTGTTTCAGGTTAATTTGAGGGGACAAAGAATTAGTTGCAATGTTCGCATTTGTTAGGTGGGGTCCCTCTTATAATTATGTCCCACCCCCAAGAGGTCCCTCTTATAATTCTGTCCTACCCTCAAGAAGTGTGCCATATCCCCTAAATGTGTGCCTATTAAATGGAAGCACAACCATCCTGTGTGTGCGCTCTCCCCTCTCCCTGCTTCCTCAGCCCCCCACCCCCCACTTCGAAGTGATTTGAGTTTTTCTCTTATGTGAGAAAAGGTTCATCTACTGGCTTCATATTAATATTTAGTACATTGAATTGTTGTTGAGTGTGTATCCCTTTTGCACCAGAGTAAAGCTGAAAAAATTTAAATCAAACCATTGTAAGGGAATGCTTGTGTGTGTGTATAGATACAGATGCATGTGTATCTATACATATATATACAGATGCATGTGTATCTATATATATATATAGTCATCCACTGATTAATGATAGGGATACATTCTATAAGGGAGAAATGTGTCATTAGGTGACTTTGTTGTGTGAGTACCACAGAGTGTACTTACACAAACCTAGATGGTATACTCTATTATATCTACCCCTAGGCTATGTGATATAGCCTATTTCTCCTAGGCTACAAATGTGCACAGCATGTTTCCATACTAAATAGGAAATGTAGGCAATTGTAACACAATGGTAATTACTATGTATCTAAACATAAAAAAGGTACAGTAAAAATATACTCTTACAATCATAAGGGAACAACAGTCCCTTAATGCAATCCATTATTGATCATAATGTTATGCAGAACATGAGTATATATATAAACTTATACAAATATATAAACTCATAAATATTCATGAATTTTTTCTCTCCTCCTCCTTGCTACAATGAAGGGCTAGTTTGATACACGTGACTCCATCTTGACTGGAGCTTCGAGTCTCAGTACTTTTTAGGTTTGGAGTCTGCAGTAGTTTTACTCCACTATTTATCTGCCTCTAAAGACAGTATATTCTCTTTACATTTTGGAGTGCAATTCCTTCTAATATGTGTATTAGATAAAATCTACCACCCATCTGTGGGCAAAACCAAAGTCTGGGTTTTTGTAATCTAAGGCCATGATAATCACAAATTAAATAATTCATGAATCTAGAGTCATGTAAGAAGGATTCATCTTCAGCCTGGGTATGGACAAGCCACAAGAATCTAAGAGTTTAGCTCTACCACACAGGGCAATAGTTGTGCAGGCTTCGGGGGTGCCATTTGTACAGGTTAAGTGGAATGGTACTCTTTGGAGTTGTGTAATAGAGTGACTGTGATGCCACAGTTCTTTTAGGCCTTAGAACTAAATTCCTTGGGTGGGGAGAACTACTCAGGGCAACTGACCTGGCATTGTCCAACTATGCTTGACATAAAAGTCAACAGGACACCTAGGAGAACAGTTTCAGTTAAGCAATAGAATTCAAAGCCTGAGTGCAGAAAATCTGGAGGTAAAGAATGATGGGAAGTCAGAAATTGTAGGTATCAGATTAATATAGTGCATTTAAACAAATTGGATATGAAGAAAAGTCAGAGATATGGTATTTTGTAGAGAAGGACTCTGTTTTAGTGGTGATTTTAGTGATGAGGAGATTTATGCATATTTATGGGCTGAGGATGAAGCTAATAGAGAGAGGTAGAAGATACAAAAACAAGAAGAGATAATTAAGAATTCCCTAGGAGAAGCTACAACAGAAAGAGCCCAGATAAGATCGATTGGGAAAAGATAAGGAGAAGAAAAGATACAGATTAAGTAGGAGGTACGAAAGACAGAATGGTGAGATACTTGAAAATTTCATTTTCTGAAAGCTGCTGGAATTGTGATGGGAAGGACCATTTGAAGATAAAGATGAGGAATTAATTACTGGATGTGATAAATAGGTGAGAGAAATAACTCTCTGACAACTCCCAAGTTTGGGGCATGGGTAGCTGGGTGAATGATAGTGCTGAGGTTAAAAGCAAAGAACTAATGTTTGCACTAGCAGCCCATATACTAAAATTGGAATGATACAGAGATCAGCATGGCCTGGTGCAAGGATGACACACCAATTTGTGAAGCATTCCACACTTTTATGGAACAGAATAGAAAACCCAGAGATGAAATCAGTCTCATATCACCATCTGATCTTCAATAAATCAAACCAACATATATACTGGAGAAAAGAATCTTTATTTAATAAATGGGGCTGGGAGAACTTGTTATCCACATGCAAAAGACTGAAACTGGACTCACACCTCTCACCAGGTACAAAAATTGACTCATGATAGATAAAAGATTTAAATCTAAGACATGAAACATCAAAAATTTTAGAAGAAAGTGTGGGAGAAACTCGTGATGATATTGGTGAGGGGGGAAAGATTTTATGAAAAAAATTCATTGGCAATTGTAGCAACAACTAAAACAAGTTAATAGGACATGATCAAGCTAAAAAGCTTCCACACAGCTAAGGGCACAACAATTAAAGTAAGTAGACAACCTTCAGAATGGGAGAAGATATTTGCATGTTACGAATCTGATAAAGACTAATAAAACAGAATCCACAGAGAACTCAAACTAATCATCAAGAAAAGAGCAAACAATTTATCATTGGGCAAGACACATGAATAGAACCTTTCCCCAAGAAGACAGAAGAATGGCAAACTAATACATGAAAAAATGCTTATCATTCCTAATCACCAGAGAAATGCCACCTTGAAATATCACCTGACCACATTGAAAATGGCCCACATCACAGGTCCCAAAGCTGCAGATGCCGGTGAGGATATGGAGAGAAGGGAGCACTTCTACACTGCTGGTGGGACTGCAAACTAATACAGCCTTTTTGGAAAGAAGTATGGAGAATATTCAAAGAACTAAAAGTCGACCTTCCAGTTGATCCCACAGTCTCATTACTAGGCATCTATACAGGAGAAAACAATCATTTTATCATTAGGACATTTGCACTAGAAACCTTATGGCAGCTCAATTCACAATCGCTAAGCTGTGGGAACAACCTAAGCCTCCATCAACATGTGAATAGTTTAATGAACTGTGGTATATGTGTACCATGGAGTACTATTCAGCCATAAGGGAGATGAGGACTTTGCATCTTTTTTTATTTACCTAGATGTATTTTGAGAACATTCTCCTAAGCATTACAGGAATGGAAAAGCAAGTACCCAATGTACTCAATACTAAAATGAAACCAGGAGGTGAACAACTACATGCCATTATGAAAGAAAAATACAACCACATTCAAGTGGGGGGTATGAGGGAGGACGGTTAGGGCGTTATCACCTAACGTGCAGAGCAGGGGGAACGTGGCACACCTCCTGGTGAAGGGCTCAGCTACCACTTGGACGTTAGCTAACAAACGCAAACAACATAACCAAATTGTTTGTACCCTTATATCAATCTGAAATTTAAAAAGAACAAAGGACTATAATGAGTGAGGATGAATTTAGTTTTGCTCACATTTGATCAACAATAATGGCCACTGCCTGTGACTCTTGGAATCTGCAGTACCCAACTACAAAGATAAAACTCACTTCCTCCCAGGCCTTGTGCTGTGCGGAACGTGAGCAGAAGCGTCCTGCTCCGCTGCATGGAGGACTAGTCTGTCTGTTGTTCAAGGACACATGTAGGGTATGAGAAATGGGTTTTCAGAATGAACATGGAGTGGAAGATGTATTTAACTTATTTAATTTACCTGAACTTTAAAAAAAGATGAAAACACTCTCTTGACTTGATGGCGGATACTTCTGAGAAGATAACAACAGAGGAGAAAATTGGGTAAACTATAAAAGGATGACAGCTTTGGGGGGAGAAGGAGGACGAATCTGGGAATATATTGAGAGTGTAAGAAAGGAGGGAGCGTCTTTGAGGTTAGAAATTTGGGAAGGTGACATTGTCACAGTCAGAAGGAAAAAACAGTAGGGTCTGGGAATGGCGAGATCCCCAGTCCGGGTGGGGGGTGGTGAGAGAACGCAGAGGCGAAGGAGGACGAGGGGCAGCGTCACCGGTGTTTGCGGCCGTGGACCGAGGCAGTCTGGGAGGAGCAGGCTGCGGAGCGGCCGCGGAGGAGGCTGGGCTGCCCAGACACCAGTGTCGCGACCCCTAACGCCTTGTCCTCGTTGCCGCAAGAAGGCAACAGGCATGACACGGATTAGAAGTACAAGCTTGCAAGAGGTGGGCTAACCTTGAGTGCAGGGTAGCCCTGAGCAACCTCCGCAGTGGCTATTTATTGAGAGCGTAGGTGACAGGTGACGGAGTATTACACAATGACTGCGTGCTGAAGAATTGCCACCGGCTCGGGCTCTCTCTCCGGGACTCCAGAGTATGACTGAGCTTTAACACCTGCGGATGAGTAGCCCTGAGGGTCCGCCCCCAAGCTGCAAATCATTTCGCTCCAGAGGCGGTCGGGCTCTTGGCGTCCTCTGCACACCAGCGCAGCCTCCGCTGGCGGGGATGCTGGTTCAGGCCCCAAGGCTGCACCCAAGCATTCCGGGAAGCTTGCAGGAAAACCAAGCAGGGATCGTAATTAGCACTCAGTGACCAGGCCCAAGAAAACCATGAAGAGGACCGACAGCGGGTCCTGCTGCTGCCGCCGCCGCCGATGCGACTCCAGCGGCTGCTGTCGCGCATCCGGCTGGGCTCACCACTCGCCCTACTGGTCCGGGGACGGAGCGCGGGCCCCGCAGTCCCCACCGCTGCCCCCGGGCCGGGAAAGAAGGCGCCCAGAACCGGCCTGGAGCTGGGTGGCGGCGGCGGAGGAGGAGGAAGCAGCCTCGGTGGCCGCACCCTGGGTGAGGTAAGCGCACCGGCAGCTCCTGTCGCCCGAGCCCAGGAGGCTGCTGACCGGGCGGGGGGTGGCGATGCGCTGGGTAGTAGAACAGCACCCAGGCCTGGGTCCCCGGGACTGCAGACCCGGATGCCTGGGAGGGGTTGGCGCCGAGTGACAACTGCTGGAAGAAGGTTGGAGGCAAAGGGAGGTGAGAGGGACCGTTGCGGGAATGGGAGCAGGAGGCACAGTGGTGAGTTGTCTAGAAATGAAGGCGTGGCACCAGATGGTGTAGGACTAAAGCTTGGCCTCACCCGCAAGGTCTTTGCTTGCTGTGTAGACCTGTGCCGTGCGCGTGGAGGTGAGGTAGAAGGCTGAGCCTGCTGGCTTGAGCCAGAAGAGAGATGAACGCATGACGCAGAAGGCCATGGCAGGATGAAACGCTGGGAATAGTCCTGGAAGATTTAAAGGATCGGGAGATGCGCGCTGTACTTCTCTGACGTCTCTTCTTTTCTGGATGTTTATCTTAGATAGAGACAGGGTGGAGTTAGGGGTAATCCTCCCCTCCCTGCAGAGCTGGAGCCTTGCCTGCTGGCTGGACAAGGCCGCGCAGGACGAGCTCCGCCGAAACTGTTTTTTCCTTTGCTTTGGCCTGGAAGACCGAACAGATACGGCACAATTTTTCTTCACGTAGCAGCAGCAGGATGAAAATCTGTAACACATAAAATTTTCTGGAGAAGACACAGATGGTGCCTGCAGACCTTTATGAAATAAGTGTGTCCTTGCCAGAGCGTTTTTAGCCTTTTATTTCATGAAAAGGCGGGACTCATAAATCAAACCGCAAGGCCACAGTGATTTCAGTCTGCAAGCTGCCATTAACCAAGCTGGGTCTGAAAAAAGTTATTTTATTTCTCTAGACTTTAGTTTTCTATGCATAAAACTGAAATTAGTATCAAATGAATATTAGTTATAGAACTAGTCATTGGATTTGTATTCGTATTCAGGTTTGTGTTTGTGATGTTCACAGAGAAGATTCAGCTTATTCACAGACACTTAATTGAATTTTTTTGTAACACTGTCCACTGTTTATACCAGAAAAGAGTCAAAGGTATTCAGTCCATGGTGCCTAATCACATTTCTATTAAGAAATCTATAATAAATTACTGCTCTTAGGAAGGAACAAGGCAAGAAGTATTCATTATTTGATTTCTTTATAAAGTGACATTTTATCACTTTATAAAATTATTTTTTTATTGTTGGGGATTCACTGAGGGTACAAGATGTGTCACACACTGAGACCCCACCCCTCCCTCCTTCTCTCTCTCTATGTTCTCCCCTTTCCCCACCATGTGGTTAATCATTATTAATTGTTCTCATATCAAAATTGAATGCATTGGATTCTTGCTTCTCCATTCTTGTGATGCTTTAATAAGAATGATGTGTTCCACTTCCATCCAGGTTAATACAAAGGCTGTAAAGTCTCCATTTTTTTTAATGGCTGAGTAGCATTCCATGGTATACATGTACCACAGCTTGTTAATCCATTCCTGGGTTGGGGGGCATTTAGGCTGTTTTCACATTTTGGTGATTGTAAATTGAGCTGTGATAAACAGTCTAGTGCAAGTGTCCTTATGATAAAAGGTTTTTTTTTTCCCCCTTCTGGACAGATGCCCAGTAATGGGATTGCAGGATCAAATGGGAGGTCTAGTTTGAGTTCTTTGAGGTTTCTCCATACTTCCTTCCAAAAAGGAAAACTGTATTAGTTTGCAGTCCCACCAGCAGTGTAAAAGTGTTCCTTTCTGTCCACATCCGCGCCAGCATCTGCAGTTTTGAGATTTTGTGATGTGGGCCATTCTCTCTGGAGTTAGATGATATATCAGGAGGTTTTGATTTGCATTTCTCTAATAATTAAGGATGATGAGAATTTTTTCATATGTTTGCTAGCCATTCATCTGTATTCTTGAGAGAAGGTTCATCTCTCTTCCCCATTGATATATGGGATTGTTGGCTTTTTTCATGTGGATTAATTTGAATTCTTTATAGATCCTAGTTATTAAACTTGTGTCTGATTCAAAATATGCAAATGTCCTTTTCCATTGTGTAGGTTGTCTATTTGCTTTGGTTGGTGTCTCCTTAGCTGTACAGAAGCTTTTCAGTTTAATTAAGTCCCATTGTTTATTTTGGTTCTTATTGCAATTGCCATGGCAGTCTCCTTCATAAAGTCTTTCCCCAGGCCGATATCTTCCAGTGTTTTTCCTATGCTTTCCTTGAGGATTTTTATCGTTTCATGCCTTAAATTTAGGTCCTTTAATCAATTTTTGTGAGTGGAGAGAGGTGCAGTTTCAGTTTTTTGCATGTGGATATCCAGTTCTCCCAGCACCATTTATTGAATAGAAAGTCTTTCCCCCAGTGTATGTTCTTATTTGGTTTATCAAAGATTAGGTGGTTATAAGTTATTAGTTCCATTTCCTGGTTTTCTATTTGATTCCAAATGTCTATGTCTCTATTTTTGTGCCAATACCATGCTGTTTTGACCTCTATGGCCTTGTAGTACAGCCTAAAATCTGGTATGGTGATGCCCCCAGCTTTGTTTTTATTACTAAGAACTGCCTTAGCTCTATGGGGTTTTTCTGCTTCCATACAAAATCCAGAATCATTTTTTCCAAGTCTTGAAAGTATATATAAAGTTGGTATTTTAAAAGGGATGGCATTGAATCCGTAGATTGCTTTGGGAAGTATAGACATTTTAACAATGTTGATTCTTTCTAGCCATGAGCATTATATGTTCTTCCATTTGTTAATATACTCTGCAATTTCTTTTCTTAGGGTTTCATAATTTTCTTTATAGAGGTCCTTCACCTCTTTTGTTAGGTATATTCCTAGGTATTTAATTTTCTTTGAAGCTATGGTGAAAGGAGTTGTGTCCTTAATTAGCCTCTCATCTTGGCTGTTATTGGCATATACAAAGATATTACTGTATTTTTGATGACTTCTAGGAGTCTTGTGGTTGAGTCTCTGAGTATAAGACCATATTATCAGCAAAGAGTTTGACCTCTTCCGCTCCCATTTGGAAACCCTTAATTTCCTTGTCTTGCCTAATTGAATTGGCTAGAACTTCCAGCACTATGTTGAATAGTAATGGTGACAGAGGACAACTTTGTCTGGTTCCAGTTCTAAGTGGAAAAGCTTTCATTTTAACTCCATTCAGTAAGATATTAGCAGTGAGTTTGTCATAGATAGCTTCAATCAGTTTAAAAATGTGCCACCTATGCCTATACTCTTTAGTGTTCTAATTAGAAAAGGATGCTGGATTTTATCAACTTCTTTTTCTGCATCTATTGAGAGGATCATATGGTCTTTGTTTTTGCTTTTGTTGATATGGTGAATAATATTTATGGACTTGTGTATATTAAACCAGCCTTGCATCCCTGGGAAGAAACCTACTTGATCACGATTTATCACTTTTTTGATGATAAGCTGTAATCTATTGCCTAGGATTTTGTTGAGAATTTTTGCATCTATATTCATTAGTGAAATTGGTATGAAATTCTCCTTTTTAGTCAGATCTTTTCCTGGTTTTGGTATCAGGGTGATGTTTGCTTCATAGAATGTGTTGGGGAAGATTCCTTCCTCCTTAATTTTTTGGAATAATTTCTACAGTAGGGAAATAAGCTCTTCTTTGAAGGTTTGATAGAATTCTGGTGTGAAGCCATCCAGACCAGGGCATTTTTTTTGTTGGGAGATTTTTGTTCCTTTGATCTCAGTACTTGAATTTGGCCTGTTCAGGAGCTCTATTTCTTCTAGGCCAAGTCTAGGGAGAGGGTGTGATTCCAAATATTGATCCATTTCCTTCACATTGTCAAATTTCCAGGCATAGAGTTACTGATAATTTTCAGAGATAATCTCTTGTATCTCTGTGGCATCAGCTGTTATTTCCCCTTTATCATTTCTGATTAAGGTTACTAGAGATTTTACTTTTTTATTTCTAGTTAGTCTGGCCAAAGGTTTATCAATTTTATTTATTTTTTCAAAAAACCAACTCCTTAGTTTTCTGAATGATTCTTTTGTTTTCAATTTCATTAATCTCTGATTTAATTTTGGATATTGCTTTTCTTCTACTGGGTTTGGGCTTAGATTGTTCTTCTTTTTCCAATTCCATAAGATGGCTTGTGAGTTTGTTGATGAGCTCGCTTTCTGTTTTTTGAATGTTGGCTTCTAAAGTGATAAATTTTCCTCTCAGGCCTGCTTTTGCTGTATCCCACAGGTTTTGGTAGCTTGTGTCTTCATTGTTGTTATGCTCAAGGAAATTAATGACTTCTTTTTTTATTTCTTCCTGCACCCAACTGTTATTCAGCATAAGGTTGTTTAATTTCCATGCCTTTGTGTGGGGTTGAACGTTTTTGTTGCAGTTGAGTTCCACCTTTAGTGCCTTGTGGTCTGAGAAAATACAAGGTAAATTTTCAATTCTTTAGATTCTGTTGAGGTTTGTTTTGGGTCCTAGGATATGATTAATTTTGGAGAATGTTCCATGGGGTGATGAGAAGAATGTATATTCTTTATCTTTAGGATAGAGTGTTCTATATACATCTATCAAGCACAGTTGTTCTAGGTTCACAGTTGTTCATTTAAGTCTTACATCTTTAATTTCTCTGTTTAGAGGATCTGTGAGAAGAGTGTTAAAGTCCCTCGTTATTATGGTGTTATAGGATATTATGTTGCTCAGACTAAGGTCTGTTTCGAGAATCTGGGAGCATTTAAGTTGGATGCATAAATATTTAGAATTGAAATGTCTTCATGTTGTATTTTTCCCTTAACCAATGTGAAGTGAACATCTTTGTCTTTTTTGACTTTAGTTGCTTTAAATCCACATGTATCTAAAAATAAGATCACAACCCCTCTTTTCTTCTGGAATCCGTATACCTGAAAAATTGTTTTCTAACCCTTAACTCAGAGCTTTAATTTCTTTTGAGACAAAATAAGATGAATAGAATGCTACCACACTTATCAATTATTAAAATAAATGTTTATGGCCTGAACTCCTTACTGAAGAGGCATAGATTGGCTGATTGGATTAAAAACACAAGCCATCCATTTCTGTCTGCAGTATAAAATTACTTTTTTAGGCAATTACTTTTTAAAAAACTGTATCTATGGGATGTTGAATGTTTTTCATAGACTACTTTGGAGATTTTTAAACTAAAAACTAATTTGAATATATATTTATAATTTCAAAGCCTCTTAATGACATTATGTATACTGGATGAATTCTTTTCATCTCGAAAGAACTGTTAATATTGCAAAATTTGGCCATGCATAGTGGCTCACACCTGTAATCCTGGCTCACTGGGAGGCTGAGGTGGGTGGATTGCTTGAACTCAGGAATTTGAGACCAGTAAGAGCAAAACCCCATTTCCATTAAAAATAGAAAAATTAGCCAGGCATGGTGGCAGGTGCCTGTAGTCACAGCTACTTAGGAGTCTGAGGCAGGAGAATTACCTAAGCCCAAGAGTTTGAGGTTGCTGTGAGCTATGATGATGCCACAGCATTGTACCCAGGGTGACAGTGTGAGACTCTGTCTCAAATTGAAAAAAAAAAAAAAACAGCAAAATTTTAAATAGAACATGATTCCTTATAATAGAAGTATGATTTCCTCACTGTAATTAGTAACAAAAAGTTTGTAAGATAAGAAATTGATTCTCGGCTCGGCGCCTGTGGCTCAAGTGACTAAGGCACCAGCCACATACACCTAAGGTGGCAGGTTTGAATCCAGCCCGGGCCTGCCAAATAACAATGATGGCTACAACCAAAAAAAAAAAGAAAAAGAAAAAGAAAAAAAAAATAGCCAGGCATTGTGGCGGCACTTGTGGTCCTAGCTACTTGGAGGCTTGGAGGCTGGAGACTCGCTTGAGCCCAGGAGTTGGAGGTTGCTGTGAGCTGTGATGCCATATCCCCCAGGGGGACAGCTTGAGGCTCTGTCTCAAAAAAAAAAAAAAGAAAGAAAGAAAGAAATTGATTCTTTAAATTGTGGTTAAATTGTAGAAATAGCAAATGTTCATGATTTTCTTAAGTTGTTCATCTGACAAACTGTATCTACATTTATATTAGGTGATATATTGATAACTATTGAAATGTTTTAAAACGTTTTAGGAATTCTCAAAACCATTTCAGGAACTTCACTGAAATTAGTGCTACTCTGATCTTCATTTAAAAATCTGTTCTCCAGTGCTCACTTGGGCAGCGCATATACTAACATAAAAAGGACATAGAAATTAGCATGGCTCCCATGCAAGCATGACACACAAATTTGTGAAGGATTCCATATTTTTTAGACCTTTCATTTGATCTCACAATCCTATTACTAAGTATCAAGCCAGAAGAAAAATATCATTTTATCATAAGGACATTTGCACTAGAATGTTAGCAGCTCAATTCACAACTGCAAAGATGTGGAAACAGGCTCGGCGCCTATAGCTCAACCGGCTAAGGCGCCAGCCACGTACACCT